TTTCTGGATTCTCAGTTGACTTCTGTGCCTGTCTGTACTTTGCACCCATAGTGTTTCTTACTGTTACATTGCAGCAATTTTTGAATTTGGGAAGTGTTAGTCCACTGACTTTGTCCTTTGGCGATATTGTTTTGATTATTCGAAGTCTCTTGAGTTTCCGTGAGAATTTTTAGATTGTTGTCAATGTCCATAACATCGCCTGGGATTCTCACATAGATTGTATTGATTCTATAGATCAGTTTGATCATTTTTCAATATTTTTTCCAATTCATGGATATATTTCCATTTATATACAAAATACTAAATAAAAATTAGAAATGAAAACAAAAAAATTAGAAATGATACAAATTTTCACTAAACAAAACCACAGGAATTTGACAGTATTTGTTTATTGCATAGTATTGTATCTGGTTTAGTTGTTCAGGTTACTAGATACATGTATGCAAAATTGAGAAAAGTTACAAGAAATTAAGAGAGAAGGAAGACAAAAATTTAAGCATTGCATGCTTCATTCCATAGGCCAGCAGAAATCCATGGAGCAGTTATCCCAGCCATCTTGCTTGCCTACGTAGATATGTCTCCTTTCCCCACTTCCTGTCCTGTCCTCCTCATCGGAGTAATTCCTTCCTTATGGACAAACTCATTCCCTTTCCCAGTATCTGTTGTACCCTTCAGATTTTATTTACTCTTTCAGGTAAACTAGGGAGATAATACAATGTTTGCACATGCAGGTCTGATTTATTTCACTGAAGAGTATGGTCTCTAGTTGTATCCATTTACCGATAGAAGCCTGAAATTTAAATTACTTTTTTATAGCTCAATAATACCATTGTGTAAAATACCATATCCTTTAAAAAAATTTTTTTTTATTTTCTTTTGGTGCAGGGTCTTGCTATGCAGGTGGGACTCATAGTTGATTCTCCTGTCTCAGCCTTCCAAGCACTGAGATTACAGGCTTGTGCCACCATACCTGGTTTTGGGGCCGGCGCAGCATGTGGTACCAGGGATCGAACTCAGGATCTTGCGCTTGCCAGGCAAGCACTTAGAGTGCCAAGCTAGCTTCCCAGCCTCACATCTTCTTTATCCGTTTCTCATTTGAGGGATATTTGGGTTGCTTCCAAAATTTAGCTATGACAAATTGCACTGCTCTGAACATGGGTGTACGGATATTGCTGTGGTATGATGCTTTCAGTTCCTCTGGAAAAATGCCCAGGAGGGGAACAGCTGGCTTTAATGTGACCTCCAATCCTAGCTTTTTGAGGCGTCTCCATACTGATTTCCATGGTGGTTGTACCAACGTGCACTCCTACCAGTGGTGGAGAAGCATTCTTTTTCCCTGCAGCCCCTCCAGATTTTGTTATTGGTTGACTTCTTGATGATAGCTGTTCTTTCTGGAATGAGATGGAATCTCAGGGTTGTTTTAATTTGCATTTCTTGAATGACCAGTGATGCTGAACATTTTGTCATATATTTATTTGCCATTTGTATTTTTTCCTCTGAGAAGTGTGTATTCATCTTAGGTGTCCATTTTTTGATTGGGTCTTTGAATTTTAGGGGCTTGATTTTTAAAAATTCTTTATATGTTGTAGATAGAAGGCCTTGTCAGACGGGCAGTTGGCTTTAATATTTTTCTAGTTTGTGGGTTTTCTTTTTCCTCTGTTGTTGGTTTCTTTTGGCATGTGGAAACTTCTCAACAATATGAGATCCCAGTTGTTGATTCTTTGAAATATTTCCTGTGCAGTTTGTATTTGTTCATGAGTGCTCCACCTACCCCTATGCCTTTTAAGATTTCTACCTACATTTTCCTCCAGGAGATTTAGTGTTTCTGGTTTAATGTCTCATTTTTGATCCATTTTGACTGTAGTTTAGTGCATGGTGTTAGACATGGGTCTAATTTTAGCCTTCAGCCTGTGGACAGCCAGTTTTTCCAACACCATTTATTAAAGAGGCTGTTCCATCTAGTGGCCCCTTTGCCAAAGGTAAGGTAGCTGAGTGTGCTTGTAGCTGTGTCTGCATCTTCTGATCTGTTCCATTGATCCTCAGGTCTGGAGCCATGCTGATTTTACCACATTAGCTTTGTAGTATAATTTCAGGTCAGGGATTGTGATGCCTCCTGCCTTTCCTTTGATTCTCAGGATTGCTTTTGATGTTCTGGGTCTCCTCTGACTCCAGATGAATTTTAGGAATTTTTTTTCTAGATCTCTGAGGTATACTAATGGTATTTTAATTGGGATTGCTTTGAATCTTCATAACTATTTTGGGAGTATGTCCATTTTCACAGTGTTGGTTCTTCCTATCCAGGAATGATTATCTTTCCATTTTCTGAAATCCTCTTTGATCTCTTTTCTCAAAGTATTGTGATTTTTACTGTATAAATCTTTTACTTCCTTTGTGAGATTGATTCTTAAGTATTTTGCTTTTTTTGGATGCTATTGTGAAAGCTTATGGTTTCCCTAATTTCTCTCTCAGTGTGTTGGTTGGTTATGTACAAAATGTTACTGATTTTTGAGTGTTGATTTGTATCCTGCTATGCTGCTGAATTTGGTTTTTAAATCTATAAGTCTCTTGGTGGCATTTGGGGTCTTCTATGTAGAGTATCATGTTTGCAAATAATGATAATTTCACTTTTTTTCCTTTCCAATCATTATTTCTTTTATTTTTCTCTTGTCTAATTGCTCTGGCTAATGTTTCCAAAACTATATTGAATAGATTTTTTTTTTTTTTTTTGTGGAACCAGGGATTGAACTCCAGTCCTTGCGCTTGCCAGGGAAGTGCTTATTCCACTGAGCCATCTCCCCGGCCCCCTATATTGAATAGAGTGGTGGCAGTGGACATTCTTGTTTTGTCCCTGATTTTAAAATGAAGGCTTTCAGTTTTTACCTGTTTAGTATGATGTTGGTTGTTGGTTTCCCATAGATGGCTTTTATCAGGTTGAGATATTGACCATCTCCAGTTTTCTGTAGGGTTTTTATCATGAATGAGTGTCAGGCATTGTCAAAAGCTTTTCATGCACCAATGAAATGATCATACAGTTTTTGTCTTTGGCTCTGTTGATGTGGTGTATTACATTTATGGATCTGCATATATTGAATCATCCCTGCATTTCTGAGATGAATTACACTTGGTTGTGATGTATAGTCTTCTTGATTTGCTGCCTTTTATTTGTTAGTATTTTATTGAGTATTTTTGCATTTGTGTTCATCAGAGAGATTGACCTATAGTTCTCTTTTTTAGTTGGGTCTTGTTCTGGTTTTGTATCAGAATGCTTGCCTCCAGAAATAAGTTCGGGAGAATTACTTGTCTTTTGATTTCATTGAAGATTTAAAAAGTGTTGACATTAAATCTTCTCTAAATTTCTTGTAAAATTCAGCTGTGAATCTTATCAGGACCTGGGCTTTTCTTTGTTGGTAGGGTTTTTAAATTACATTTTAAATTCATTTCTTGTTATTGGGCTATTCAGAGTTTTTATATCTTCTTGACTCAGCAAGAAGATATAAAAATTCATTTGTACCTAGGAAATTGTCTATTTCCTCTGTATTTTCCATCTATGAGAGTAAAGATTTTGGAGGTAGGTATTGTTGAGCTTCTGAATTTCTGTAGTGTCTGTAGTGATTTCTCCTGTTTCATTTCTTACTGCATGAAT